ATGAATTAGAAAGTTGAGATTAGAACACGAAAGTTTCAATAATATTTCCGAAAAATCACGAAGTGAATTGGAAGCATTAATTGAAGAAGAAGTGCAGAAATACATATAATGTATAGAAACATACTGTTTTTAATCAGAATCAACCAATTCGAATAATTTCAGATATGAAAATCAGTTTATTACTGAAGACGAAACAGCTGAAATATGCGCAAAATTTTTCTCCACTGTCCATATGATTTGACAAGTGATGATACTGAATCAGATCAGTTAACAATATTTCCCAACTTCAGTTAGTTACCACAGATCATTATAATGAAGTAATTGAAAACCCTTAACCCAGTAATGCTGCAGGATAAAGGTAATTTTCATATTACCACCAGGTTTTTCAAGTCTCAGAATATGAATCGTAGCTAAAAGCATCATTTACTGATTTCCATAAATCATTTGGAACAGTGAGAAGAAATTTGAAATGAATAAAAATAAATTGATAGTCAGAGAGTCACATATGTGAAACCCTCGTTTCACATATATGGGTAAAAATGCAATATACATCACTCTGTAGACGGCATGCAGTTGAATTTCTCTTTTCCACCCCGTGATTCTACATCTGCTCAGCCATTTATGACATTTTTACAGCCCATAAGCTCAAGCTCAATTCTAATGAATCTGCGACAATGATCTTTGGACTTGAGAAAAACAGAGAGCCCACCAACTCCACTTTTCAAGTCCGCATCAAAAATGAAATACTCTCCTCTGGGATCCAGAACTTCGCTCCACTAAACATGTCTGATATCTGACATGTTTAGTGCTCAATACGAACTTGAAACTTGGACTATGCGAGTCACTAATCATGTCATCAATTTTTCATTGCGATGGTATTTATGGAACTGCTTTAAGAAAATCTGATGCTCTTCGACCACAGCATGATCAGAATAGCTGTCTCCGTTTCTCGTTTGGTATCCGAAAATATGACCATATTTCCTCAGCCATGTGAGAATGAAGACAGTTTAAAGTTGAGGAACTTAGGATATTGCATCTACACACCAACACACATGGAATTTTGATATCTCGCCTGATTACTTACTGCAGAAGCTTAGAACCTTCTGAACAATCGTGCTTCCAAAGTCACGGAAGTCATTCTATCATCCATGGATGCATATATTCCTTCTTCAATGAAACAACCTTCTAACGGCTAACCTTGGTTCAAAGAAAATGCGAGCAAGCTGTCGCCTCCAAAAATCTCGCCTACCGGCAGTGGCGCAAAAATCCTAGTGCCGAAAATCGAACTAGGTTTTTTAATGCACGCAACAGCTGCAAACTTAGGTTGAATGAAAGCAAAGAACTCCACAATCAGGGAATTAGGAATAAACTGCTTACCAATACCAACGGGTCTGACCCCTTCTGATCGGTAGCTGAAGCAGTCATTCAGAACTGTACAAAATCCACGATTCCACTACTAACACAAGCGGATTTGGTTCAATTGCAACAACAGCCAAAGAAAAAGCAAATCTACTAGCTGTACAATTTGCGTCCCACTCCACAGTCGATTTTCTGGGAAAGGCACAACCCACTATTTCCACACTGGAATTCACAATACCGAAAATTACTTTTCGACAGCGTCTAGTCGGGCAAATTTTGAAACAGCTCGGTATCAACGATGCGTCTGAAGTGCTTGTCATCATACTTAAAAAGTGCGCAAATGAATTCGCACCAGAATTTTACAGACTTTCCAACCTGTCTTACAAGAAATAGGTTTCTCCATCAACGCTGGTATTCACCAGGGATCCATTTCTTCTCCAACCGTCATTTTATTATATATCAACGACTCATTGAAAAAAAAAACAGAATCCAGTATACTGCTTTGCTGAAGACAGCACATTCGTCTCATTTCATTTGGATTTCATGACTTTGGATACGGAGGCACATTTTCAGTGACAGCAGGAGATTGCATATCTTAATGAGGATCCAGAAGTGATTTCGAATCTGTTTTCTCCAAGAAGATAAATGTCTCCGAACCGGAAATGATTATGTCAGTAATTATGTAAGTTTGTTGAGAGTTAAAATGGTCACCAATATGTTTCGGCACAACCATGTCGCTGGAATTAAAAAGGCTGATTCTCAAAAGCTTGGAACACTGTTCCTAACCAGAAAACTGTACATACCTCAGCAACTTTGGATGCTTCATAAAGCTCAGATAAGACCTTCTTTGAAGTATTGTTCTGTTGCTGGATTCCATCCAGAAAAGATCCATCCGCCCGATTGGAGACGCGAACATCACGTGCAACTTTGATAGCCTGGAACATCGGAGAAGGGTTGGCGAATTGTCTCTCTTCTGTAGATACTTTCACGGAAAGTGTTCAAGTGATCTGGCACATTTGATTCCACCAAGAGCGGTAAATATCAGAAATACGCGACGGACTGTGGCTGCTCATCGTTCTGAGTTTCAACTCAGTACACCTTGAACTTCACTGTTGAGGAACTGCGTTTTTTTGGAATAAACTTCCTGAGAACGGTTTTCCAAATGGATTTAATCTCTAGCGATTCAAATCCAATGTGAATCGCTACTTTCACACAGGCACCGTTCTGTGTGCGCCTTGAGGATTTTTCTGTAGTGCTTGTGTTTTGTCCTTGGAAAAGAAATCAAAAATGAAGATGGTTAAAAGTTAAGAAACTTAAGATACTGCCTCTACTCACCACCACACATGAAGTTTTGATATCACGTCAACCTGATTACTTATTGAAGAAGCTTAAAATCTTCTCAACAATTGAACATCTTCACTCGCTGTGTCTTGTATAATGCACTCAAACATTTTGATCAACTATCCTGTGAGTTTCGATCTTACACAATTAAAAACTTCAAAGAAAGACTGAAGACTTACTCAACTATCTAGTCTTTTGTCCGTTCCCGACCTTGGCAAAGCAAAAAAGACTGTTATTGTTATTTGATTTTTGTTTTTTTCAGGTTGAGTTGGAAAGCAGCCATGGCTGTCAAAATTTGTTTCCTTTCCATTCATTTTGTATGTTTCAATTGTACATTTGATGGTGAATAAAGACGCATTATTATTATTATTATTATAATCATGATAATCCCTCAGTGTACCTTGATTCATATAGAGGTAAAATGAACATTAACCCATTAGTGCATAAGATTATGAATTTTTGAAAACGCTAGTTTTTTCAGTGGATATCGTATGTTGGGAGAAAATCAAACAACTTTTGTAGAAACATTTTTTCAATAATTTTTCTATTTGAAAAAATAGAGTGTTTGATTTATCGAACGTCATGCTAGCAGATCAATACAGGTAAATGAAATCAACAAAACTAATATCCATCACCACGGAGTATGATACTTCAGGAAACACTTTTTCGGGTCAAGAGCATTTCACGCAAATCAATTTTGCATTTTTTCCACAGAGAGCACATCTTTCCTGTGGCAGATGGTTGATTTTATCAAACCTGACATTGGCAAATGGTGCTGGAGCGATTCGCTTTCTTTTTGATGCTTGTCCGTGAGTCTTCAAGAGATTCAGAGCCTAATATCTACTGAATTTCAGCAGAGCAGGCATTTCATGGGAGGGGTAAATTTTACGCAATAGCAGCCAGGCATTGACAACCCATACATCAAATGAGTATGAAAATATTGGTCAACACCATTTTCGCTGCCTCATTCTTGTTCTATAATTCGCTACTAACTCATCCAATTCATCCACTCCTCACATGCTTTTATTATAATTATCGAATATTTTGGGTGGAGGCACGGATATATCCGATTTGCTTTCCCTGGAGTAGCAAGTAGCACTCTTGATTTCACAAGACTCGAAACTCGAGGCCGCAGTGACAACTTTATTGTCCTTCCATTGAAAGACAATTACTTTCTCACTGCTTGAAACGGAATATTCACCTCGTTTTTTCTTTTGTTGCTTTCTGAGTGGGCAATGGGAAAACTTTGCTATATACTTCTTCTGATGGCTTTTTTTCGTTGCACTCTTGTTATATGTTGAAAATGTGTACTTCATTGGTCCAAACTACTTTGAAGTGGAAGGTGCGTTATCCTCCGTTGGTCTATCTGCTTCAACATTCGGAAATAACTCTGCCGAAAGTATATCATCATCTGAATTATAATCTGCATCATTAAAATCTCTGAGATTGGAGGGTCTAGGTGGAACAAACTCACTTTTCACCTGTAGCATAGCTGGTCCCAGGTGAGAAATATATCCTTCATGATCATCATCTGATAGATCACCATCAAAATCAGTATCTTCGCCGTCTTGAGGTGGTGTAATGTATATGTCACCAGTGTCTGTGCCGCTATGTTCCAACATTAAAATTAGTTCGGCAAGCGATAATCTGTGACGAAACAGACGTACAATAAGTAAACATGGTGCATAATGTTCGATAAAACGAACATGGAATGTAAAGACTGATTTCAAGAAAAATAAAGATAGACGGGTGTTATCTGTGATACTAGTTAATGGTATGTGAGTTCATGTGAGGGGATTCTCATTACTCTTCACATATTTGTCATAAATAATATGGATATTGCATAATAACTCACCAGCCGCAGAGAGTTGAGTGCAATTCTGTATACACCGCTATACATACAAGAAAACTAACACGTTTACACTTCTCACCACTCAAATGACTGAACCGGCTGTTAATTCTATATGTATTAACAACTTTTTCGCGGGAAATAATTGAAAATATGCGCAGCCATTCTCTTCGCCGACGTGACTAGGCATGTTCGATAAAAGGAACAATATGCACTAATGGGTTAAAGTAATATTCTTTTTGGAGAACAAGAATATGCAGGTATTCTCCCCCTGAACTTTTGTTTCCTAATCAACTTATTTACTACACTTTTAAAGATACTCACTGCTCTCAGCTAAGTCCTATTTTCTTTCTTTTGTAACAGGCCTATAGATAAGAAAGTGTAGTTCCATCATTTATGATGACTCAACTCTCAACAAAGCCCACGCGCTGATTCCATCTTTCTGTTTCAGTTCCCCCCGAGCAACCCACGATCCTTGATAAATGGGGCAGACAGATGAATGGCACGGTCGGACCCCACGAGGAAGGGGACGACATCACGATGACCTGCAGGACTGTAGGGGGCCACCCTCAACCCATCGTGAGGTGGCTAGTGAATGGCCTCGTCGTGGATGATCAGTACGAACATAATGCCGGCGACGTCATCGAAAATAGATTGGTTTGGCCCTCAGTGGGCAGGAAGGATCTAGACGCTTTGTTTACCTGCCAGGCCGTCAATACGAAGCAGACCGAGCCGAAGGAAGCCATAGTGGTATTGGATTTAATATGTGAGTACATACTCGACACTGATACAATGGGTTTTGATTCCGGGATGGTCTAGATACAGTGTGGATGTACGAAACAAAACATCACGGTCGGAAAAAGTGCACATAAACCGGCAGCATGTTTAGTGCTTCCTATAAGAGTAAATATAGATAAAAAAACTGAAAAGCACGCTTTTAAAGAACATCGAACTGAAAAGTTAAAAATATTTTTGAAAAAAATAAGCTTAAAACAATAACGATCGAAAAATACTAGTATATTATTGTGAAAAAAGCGTAGGTGCTTTGTGCCATATTTTTTGTATATCTAGCGCCCACGCTACAATAATAATAGTATTAGCAGTTCGTTATAATTATAAGCTTATTTTGAAAAAAAACATTTTTAAATATTTAGTTCGATGTTCTTTGAAAGCGTGTTTTCTAGTTATTTTCAAACTATATCAATTTTTAACTTTTCAGTTCGATATTCTTCGAAAGCGTGTTTTTTATTTTTTTCAAACTATATTAATTTTCAACTTTTTAGTTCGATGTTCTTCAAAAGCGTGTTTTCTAGTTTTTTTAAACTATATATATTTTTTACTTTTCAGTTTCATATGATATAAAAACGTGTTTTTTAGTTTTGCAGACTATATTCATTTTTCAAATCAACCTTTTGATTTGATATGTAATGTCAAGCACCTTAATTCTAATTTTTCTATTTTTTGAAATATTTGAGTAACTGCATTTTTTAGGTGTACATTTTACGATAACTTTTTCATTGTTGAAATCCATTCTGGTTTGCTTTCAAATAATCGAATTAGATTTTAAAATGTATTCATCCTTTTGTTCAAAACTTTTTCCTGTATTAAATCACGGGCAAATGAAAATATTTAAATATCTAAATATTTCATCTATTGTACAAAATTTCGCACACTTATAATTCTCAAAATCCATTTTTTATTTCGATTTTCTTTTGAACAACCTATCAAGGAGGTTAGGTACAGCACCATCTGCCCGCGAATAGACCAAGAAATATCAAGGAGATTACATACAGCGCCATCTTCCCGCGAATAGATCAAGCAATGAAAATGTCGCTGATTCTGTCAATACAGATCCCGAGCTTGGGAGTTACAAGCAAACAAACATACATACATACATGCATACATACAGGTGAAGCTAATATAAAGCGTGTAATAAAAACAGTAATGTGAGTCGCAGCGCCCGTCGACGAAAGGGAAAATTTCCTTCCGAATGAAATAGGGGTTTTGTTGGTTTCCATACATCACTGGTTCAGTTTTCAATGATCTGCAATCGAAAAAAATGATTCGAAACTTTCCTCAACTCATTTCAGTAGTTGTTCAAAATGTTTTGGTTGGTTTTCGGTTTTACCGTGTACATCTTCGGTTATAATCTCCAACCGTTTCAACTGCAGCTACAGCAGTCATCTTCAGTGTCAGAAAATGTTTATACCATTCATTTTCTGACAAATAATGAATTATGTTCGCAAAATCATTTGTGACCACCGGTTTGGATACTTATTATCCAGTGGCTCTCGAATCAATATATTATAATATAAAGAACATCAGTTGAATATTCATTTTGATTTTCCTGAATTACTTCATCAATTGATGAACTGATACCTTTTTGCGGCATATCCAGATACAGAGATTTGGTATATGTTAAATCACATGGAAAAGAAAGGTGCTGGATAACTACCTCTCCATCATTGAACAAAAAAAGTTTGGAAACTTTCAATGGAAGAAAGTAATTTAAAATAAAATTCCTACAAAGATATGTAGATCATGCGTAAGAGTTACTTTTAGACACAAACTGGAAGAAAAAGTGCTCTGGAAATTACTTTCGTATAAATATTGAATTCGACAAAAAAAGTACTTTCGAAACAACTGTTAATGAACATTGCATTACACAAGGAATAATTTCTCCTATTCAGTTTTCACTCCAAACATTCATTATGTTATCGAATGAGACACAGTACTGCTACGCCATCTATTATTATAAATGCAAGAGTCACTCAATTAACACACACTCATCTCTGTTCATCTGTACTGGTGGGTCCTAGGAAGCTGAAATTTTGTATATAGATGATTCTCAGGTCTCGAATGTGCACTAAGGAAGTATTTTCAAATATTTCAACTGGGGCTACCTCCGTGGGGTGAAAGGGACGCGTTTGCATATGAAAATTACCTTTTTATCTTTACCTGTTTCTCCGTACCGCTATATTTTCGAAAGCTGAAATTTTGTTTATAGGTTCGTTTCGTGTTTTAAATGTGCAATAAAAAAAGATTTTCAAAAATTGCAACTGATGAACTTGTCGCGGGAAAAAAAAACCTTTATAAAATAAAGTTACCTTTTCCTCCACACCGGTATATTTTCGGAGGCTGAAATTTTATATGTAGGTGCTTTTTATATCGTAGATGTGCAATAGCAGAAGATTTTGAAATATTTCAACCGGGATATCAGCCGCGGGGGAAAAACGCGTTCATAAAACAATTTTATTATTTCATCACTCTTTCATCACTGTGGGTGAATTTATATTCAGTATCAGCATTGCACCCGACCGGAGCCAGGACAGGTCGCTTGTATGCTTAATTAAAGACATAAAATGTAACTTACATATGATACTGTCATCCTCGATGGTGAACATTGGTGTTTTGGAATAGGACACTTGTCTTATTGCCTCTTCAGCACCAAACTGGGTAACATCACAATATGAAGCACCGAATTCAATCACAACATTCGAGTCACTTCATTTCACGGATCACTTGAATTACGAAAACAGTACAATCGCTTATTTAACAGAATCCAAGCTATAGTGATCTCATTCATATTGTGTACCAATCCTGTGAATAATATCTGATTCACTTCCATAACGAATGTATGGAATACAAACGGAATAAGAAAAAATGGTAGTTTCTGAAAGGTTTTCTTTCTAGTTTGTATCTGGAAGTAACTTTTAGCCATGTTCTAAACATATTCGTGAAGAATGTATTCTGAAATGAATTGTTTTCTTTCTTCCTATGGAAGTTTCTTACATTCAATTCATGTTCAGTCACCTTCATTCATATGTGCGATAAACAAAGCGATAAACAATTATAACGGAATCATAATTCTCATTGAAATTTCAATAATTTTGTTTGCAGATTCTTTGAAGGAATCTAAAACTGATGATAACTCAAAAACGGTTGACCGATTTCAGAAAAAAACATTATCGATAGAGGATTCAGAGATATTCCAATCAAGGTAGAAAAGGGGGTGTGACTTTTATGCCAAAGTTGGGATAATTTTCTGTGAATCTGAAAATGATACAAAATTATCCTTGATCGAATCAATCCGAATTGTGATAACATTCGAACATACAGAATCAAATATAGATACCAGAGGAAACATGTTTGTAAATATTTATACACATAACCACTACTCACATGAAACCAAATATGCATGCTGATATGTGTACAGTGCGTCCATGAATAAATTATTTTTCTAATTTTCGAAACGGTCCGATTCCGTATGACTTTCAAAAATAATAAATGAATATACATCTTTCTTATAATATGAGATACGTCCACGATGAGGAGGTCCAGCAAGCCATATAAACCAGGAAAATGTAGATCGTTTCTGAGCTTACGAGTATTCAATTCAATTTACTGAGTTCAAAGATGAAATGAAAGTATAAAAACTGGACAGTTCGACATTTCCGTGAGGAAAATTTTGTTTTAGAATTTGTTTTTTTACGAATATCTTCGAAAATGATTGAAACTTCCCAAATTCCGAAACGTCATTGAAATCAGTTTTATGAGCAGATTTTCCATGATTCCTCCTTATTTTGGACACAGAGTACATGAGATGCTTGATGAATAGTCTCGACGTGCATGAACATAATGCCAGCGACGTCATCGGAAATAGATTGGTTTGGTCCTCAATGGACATAATCGTAAAGGATTTGGATGCTTTGTTTACTTGCCAGGTCCTCAATACGAAGCTGACTGAGCCGAAAGAAGCTATGATAGTATTCAATTTAATACGTGAATAAACAATGGACTGTATTTCTGATTTCTGACGTTTATTGGTTTTCACTTCCTTGAAATCAAAAGACTTTCAGAAAGGAATCAAATGGGAAGGTTAAATTTTTAAGTTTGCATTTGAATAAAATCCGCAAAAAGATTCATCCAATTTATCAGGTACACTTTTTGACATATGGAATGAATAGTGGAATTGGAACCGTTGGAATATGATGAATTTAGAAAATCACTTTCCCAAATATCAGAACCGAAACACGCTTTTCATCATGTGAGAGTCCACATAGGAAAATCAAAAATCGTGGGAGATGCGAAGTGGATTCAACTAGAACAGGGATCTCCAAACTTTGAAGCCTTTGGGCCATAATGATTTTTTCAGTCTGTTCCAAGGGCCAATTTCTGCCCTCAACTATATTTCTAGACTAGGATAGTCGCAAAGTGCGTGACCTAAGCAAACTCACGCTTTTTTTGCATTCCAATTATCATTGTGTATTGTGACACTTAACGACATCTAGTGGCGAGTAGTGGTACTATGTACTATCTTTTTCAACTACCCGCTAGGTGGCATTAGGCGTAATTAAATATTTGGAATTACCGCTTTGGTTCGAGAAAGTTCTGGTTCTAGCTAGTGTATTTCGATCACCTCGAGATGGCAGTAATAATTGCATATAAAAAGGCTGGCGGCGCAACTGCGAGTTAGTCTACGTAGAAAAGGCAAAGGAAGCGAGACTGTCTATTGTGAAATAAAGTAACACCCGTCAATAAAAGTATTTTGATTTGACTTATTGTTTTTATGTGTGATTTGTTAGTATGGAAAAGAAGCGAAAAATCGACAGTGAATGCAGAACGTTCCAAGAAAAATGGAACTTTCAGTATTTCGTGATTGAGTCCAGTAATAAGGCGTTTTGTTTAATTTGTAATGAAACCATAGCTGTTCTCAAAGACTATAACATTAAACGACACTATGAATCGAAACATCATCTGTATACT